GCGGGTGGGTGCCCACCGGACTGCGTCCTGAGGAGAAACGACTCGGCGTTTCCACAGGGAGGACGCGCGGCTGGCGGGGAAGGGCCGAGGGGCTCCCTTCGGTGCCTCGTCGTGGGGATGGTGGGCAGTGCCCCTGCTGCCAAAACGCCTCCGAGGCTTCTGCTGGGTTGTTTCTAGCGCCCGGTGTTTTGTTGCTTTTTCTGCCTCTGGTGCTGCAATGGCACAAGCTTGCTCTTTGCTGCAGGTGGAAAGCGGGCAGACGTTCCTGGGCCCCGGCTTCGGGCCGAGAGGCCTGACTGCCCCTGCTGAGTGGTGCGGCGCTGGGTCCCGCGGCCTGCTGTGTCGCACCTCTTGCTTCGCCAGCTGCGCCGGGGCCCACCGTTCCGTTGTCCCCAAGTCGCGTCTCAGTGGGAGGTGATAACCTGCACAACTTCTCCCTTGTTTTAAATAATGGCCTCTATGTGTTGGGCTTTGTCTCTACAAGAGAAAGGAGCAGGAAATGTTTCTGACTGAAATCACAAGTATTTCAGAAACCGCAGGCTTAAATTTCCATGTTTCCGAGAAAAAACTAATGTCGCAGGCTGCTGAGTGAAGCTTTCCAGTCATACGGTGATGAAGCGCGTGGACATACCACTCCTACTCAGAAATGGTCCTGAAGCATAATTCTGCTAACGTATACGGAGGAGAGGCAGAGAAAGGAGAAATAGATCAGAGAGGTTTGTGTGTGAGCAGATCAAGACAGCCAATGTGGAGGTGGCCTAGAGATGTCTACATTTTAACATCTCATTTTGCTAGGGTCTCTGTATTTTCCATTTAGAGGATACACTCTTCTTTAAATTATACCTGGCCATTACCTCTATTAGTGCTTTTTAGCTCAAGGACAGTCTTCGTTACTGTGCCACTGAGTAATTATACTTCCACCATATGATTTTTTTCGTTTAAAATTGATCTTTCTACATACCACGGTAATTTGATTTCTTGATAACATGACCACTGAGCTTAAATCCAACACACAGTCGAAGTAACAGCGTTTGCATTTCTTTGTGCTTTAGCAGAAGAAAGCTCTCTAAGCTGTGTGCACACTCTGTGCCATCTAGTCTGTGATAAACACCCATAAATGTGATTCTGCAGATTACCCAGCACATGGGGCTTTGAGGTTTAATCTAACACGTTTGTATTCTTGCAGGTACTTACATATGTTGGTAAGAAACGCCTGCACAACTCCAGATCTCTAGCGTAGAGATCTCCACACAATCTTGAATAGAAATCTGCTACTTTGAAAGTTTATTTGAATCTGATATTTATTTCAGGGCTGAGAGGCAGAATTAGGCCTTATTTTAACCAGTTCCTCTTTTATGAGTGTTTGTAACTTTGTCCTGTGGCATTCTGCATTTCCTGCTTCTGCTCTGCCTTTTTATGGCATGTCTCACTCACCACTTGTCTTTTGAGTTCTGGCGTCAGGCACCTGGAATAAATGTATTCACCTTTTCCACAGTCATTTCAAGTCACATTACTGTTGATGATACATATGTCTCTACCCGTTTTATAAAGAAACCAGAGCACAAAGATATTACAAGATAGTCTGAACAAGGGTTGAAGCTTTTTGAATGGGACCTGGCAGAAGCAAGGTGTCAAAGACCTGTACAGTGATCCCATAAGCTACCATTCAGCCCTTATCTAAGCTGGAGGCACATCAGGCTTTCCTTCTGTGAAACTTGGTCAGTTGTCCACAATGATACTTCTGCCCAAACCCCAAAATGTCCCAGCACTGAAAACACTGGTAACTTAGTGCCTTCCCTTACCTAAGCCAGATACAGCATTCTCCCACCTTCACCCTTCAAATCTCAGTCCAATAGCTGTTCTCAGAGTTTAGTAAACCCATGGAAGCTGGGTCAGCACCTCTGAAAGTGCAGTTCCAGCTACCAGTGTTAAGACACAAACAGTGCTGCTCCCCATCATGTGCCCTTCCCTACATCTAGCAGGGTAACTTCCCTAGATGTACAAAGCCATTTCTTCTGCTGGGCATCAGCTATTTCCAGGACATCATCCAAAACACTGGATTGTAGTCTACTTTGCACAGCATATTTCCCCCACCCCTTTAGCACACTTCTGGCTTAACACAGGCACCAGTACTTGAGTACTATGGATGAACCCGAGCACGAGTATACACAGGATTGTGATTCTCTCACTTCTAGCCCCTACTCCCAGTATTGTTTGGTACTTTATAGTAAGCAGTGTTCATATCAGGAAAATAATATCATGGTTTCAGTTTGGTGCCTGATGTGATCTCTTATTTGGAGCATGCATTAGGTCATCTGTGGTTTTTTTTTTTCAGAGAAGACTTTTTTTGCTGCATTGGACCACCTGCAAGAGTCTAACACCATCTATTCAGTCTGGCTAAAAGAAGGCTGTTTGCTATTTGCAGTCAAAATTTTGATACCATGGCAACTTGGTCATTTTTCTATTGAAAAGAACTTTGGAAAGCTGTGATTTGGCATGTTGACATCATCATAGATGGCAGACTCCGGCTTTATTATTTTCTTCACAGGCAATTGAGAGGCTACAGTAAAAAATAACTTTCTGTAACTTTTCTGTAACCTTGGAGTGAGGCGTAGTGCCTGAAAGTATGCATCTACTGAATTAGGAGAAAGAGAAATGCAAAGAGAGGAGAAATAATTGTAATAGTAATTAATTACATTCATTTTTTAGCAGCAGTTCTGGGGGCCATTTAAGGAATTACCGAACAGTATACATGACAACTGTGCCGATCAAGTTAATAGGGTCTCTAGCAGAGGAATCAAATTAGTGAACACAATGTGCCATATTAGAGAATACATATGTGTATAATATATATAAAATAATATACTTAATTTACTTTTTTTATCCTACAGCATGTAAGGGAATAAAGGCAAAACATTAACAAAAGTCACCACACCACTGTAAGGGACAGTCATGTCTCACACCTCTGCAGGAGCTCTTTGTGCACGTGGACAAGGTGGTTGCAGGTAAGCTCCATCCACTTGGATTTTCAAGAGGCATTCAGTGTGATGCATCTGCAGGTGCTCTTAAAATATAAACTCCTGTGTTAAAAGGAAAGGTCTGTGCATTGATTTATAACTCTCGAATGATATGTGTACAACAGAGGGTAGGAAGAAATGATCAGCTTTCGCAGTGCAGAAGGGTCTTCATCGGAGCGCAAAAAGCACCTGGCTGGAGTCTGTGCTGTTCAGCACACTCAGAAGTGTTTGAGAAAGGAGGTAAATAGTGACATCACACAGTCAATTTATTCTTATAATTAAGAGCCAAATCTGAAGTTCAAGGACCAAATCTGAAGTTCATGTTGGCCTGCTCTAGGCAA